CACACACACACACACACACACATATATATATATATAAAGACTTGTTTTATTTAATAATTTAGTTTAAATAGAATTATCAAATTGGGATTTTAAGGTATTGTTGACCATTGAACTCATTCATATTAAAGGTAATTTTCTTTCTTTTCATTAATGAAATCAAAAAGTGATCTTTCTTGGCTGGGACTAATGCCAGGATCTTCAGCTTACTCAGCCATGCATTACTTTCTTGACTGAGCCTTCATCAAATTACTCTATGTTAGCTTGATCACCACTAAACCCAATCCTGCAACATTAAATCTAACAAATACATTTCAACTGACACCATACATAAGACAATAGGTCAGTTACAAGTCTGCACATGTCCAATTTATGTCCAATTAGAGTGAATTTCAGACAGTCTTTCCTTACCCTGAATTTTGGCTTACTGTGGTTCACCAGACTGCTTAATAACTTACCACTTTGACTATCAGTGCTCTTAACTAGTCCTAATTAAACAATTCTTTGAATGCTACTGTATTTATTTCTGTTGAAAATAAAACATTCTCCTCCACTTGCAAAGTTTTGGGCATTAGGTGAATTTAACCTAAACATGTAACAAAAGAGATTGTACTTTGTTTATGACAGGGTAAGATTTTATTCAGAAGAAGACAGTCACTACTTTAGGGTCATTGTTATCAATGTGGCCGTAGAGCAGTTTGCTAAGATACATAGGATCAATATCATTAAGTTATTCTTGCCAAGAGGTTTTCAAGCTTTCAAACAATTAATTCCCTAGCAACTGATTTAATTTCAAAATCCAGAAATCTAATTTCAGTTCTAAATATATTTGTACCTTAAGCATGCTATCTGGCCATCTTATTTTATTAGGAACCCCATAAATTTGTAGAACATTCAAGTCGTTTGCACTAGCAATGGTCTTATCATATTATAAGCCATATGACTGTTTTAACCCTGTAGATTTACTTGTTTATTGAATGTATGTGAATACTTTTATTTTCTAATTTATACAGTGACATTTTCTTGACTTAAGCCTTTTTTTATCAAATTAGGAGGTTTTTCTTTAACTATGAAAACTATTTTTTGTATCATGACTTCTGTACGTATTCTATTTTAAATTATATAAAACTTCCTATCTATACTAGAGATAGTTCGTCTTCAGGTATGTAAATGGTATTGATAATGTCACATATAAATTGCTATTTTTAAATGAGTGATTTTAAGCATTTGTATTGGATGTTTTTTGTATCAAATGATAATTTTAGCTTTGTGTTAAGTCACAACTATTTTAGATTAAAACAAATTAATTATATCATCCTCTATGTCAAATCATGTGAAACTAGAACATTTTTTGCTTTTGTTTTAGGTTGCTATTATAGTGTGACAATGTACATGAAGCTCGTAGACCAGCCTGAAGCAGAAACTTCCTTCAAGTTTACAACAAATGTGAAGTCGTACTTAGCTCTTAAAAACACATGGCTGGCTTTTGGTAAAAAAGCAAGAACTTTTAAGAATTAAGTTATTCTATATTTTTAATGGATGTATTTATATAACGTTCTTCTTGTGAACCAAGATGTATTATTTTTTGTTTATCTTTTTCACTTTATAACATAAGGAAACAGAAGCGTGAAAGCTATATGTTTGATGGATATTTTTTTACATTGATTTAATTGGAAACCTGAAAAGATATATTCTTTTTGATTTATCTTTATTTATTTCATTTCATAGCACAAGAAAAACTAAAAGTGCAAGTTGTATATTTCACTTATAATTTTGTTCTAATTTGAAAATTATATTCCAGACAAGTTACTAGCTTTTGTTGAAGTTCTTTTTTAAATTTTCTTTTAATATTTTTATTATGAAAACCTAAGTAATTCATTAACTCCCTACTTGAGTTATTGGTGATATATTTCTTGGGTAGATTTTGTAGTTTTTAATGTTAGAAACAACTGTAGTTAAAGTTTGCCTCTTTTTGCTTTTTTTATTTTTCATGCATGCAAATAACACAGACCTGCGATGGTTTTATTGTCTTGAAATGTTAACATGTTCTACAGTAATTCCTGTACGCTGAATCTGAAAATGATATTCATTTTTCGCCATCACGTACAGATATTTCCCAAAACATGTGTACTTTTACATAAATGAATCATTTTCATTAAAATCAGGTCACATTTTGTTATGCTTAAAATGTT